TAGTAATAATAGTGGTTTTTTTTTATATATATATTTTTATTTCTTTTAATTTGTTTTTTTTTTAATGAAAAAAAAAAAAAAAAAAAGTAAAATTAATTAAAGATCTTTATATTTTATTAAATATATATATATATTTATATTAATGTAATTATAATTTTATTTGTATATAATATCATTTTCTTTTAAATAATTATTTTTATTATTTTGGTTAAGCTAAATTTTTAATTGACAAAGAAGGTAAATAATTCTTTTATAATAAATTCTATTTTTCTATAGTTTAATAATTTATACTACTCAATTAAGGTGTTTTAGGTTTAACCTAGAGATTAAATTTATTATTATTATCAATTAATTAAATATAATTTTATTAATCCTAAACATAAATAAAATATATAATTATATAAATATAAATAAAACAAAATATAAATATATAAATATAAATTTAAATATAAAATATTAATAATTTTATATATATATAAATAAAAATTTATAATATATTAATATAAATATTTATTATAATAATTATTATAATTTTATAGAAATTTTAAAAATAAATATTTACTTTAATTTAAGAATTAGATTTCTGTGTTAAAGTATTAGATATCCTAAAACTTTAATTACCTCTAATCTGTAAATATAAAAATATAAAAAATATAACTTATAGTAAAATAAACAAAAAACTAATTAAATGAATTAATAATATATATATATATATCTATATATATATATATATATATATATATATATATATATTTAAATATATATTTATATTTATATATAAATTTATTTATTTAATTAAATATATGTATTTATTTATATTTTTTTACATAATTTTTATATTTATTTCTATATTTTTTTTTTTTATTTTTTATACTTTTTTATTATTTTATTTATAATTTTTTTTTAAATTTTTTTAAAAAAACTATATATTTATATAAAATGCTTTAAAAATATACATTTTTTTTTTTTATTATTTAATGTTTTTTTAAAAATTATTATATAAACAATTTTATAAACTAATTAATAATATTAATATTTACTTTATCATTATAATTAATATTTTGATTTAATTCTTGATTTCCAAATTAAAAATGATTATCTTTAATCTATTTTAAGGAATTTACTTAATAAAGTAAATTTTTTCCTTCACTTTTACTTTATTATTATTATTAATTTCCTATAATCATTTATTTTTATAATAAATAAGCTTTCATTTCCATAATAAAACTGGCATCAGTTTAAACTGCTACATCAACCATTAATAATTGACTTTATTTATTAATATCTTGACTTTAATTTCCTTTATTTATTTTAGTTATTTCAAATTTAGGTACATTTCTAGATATAAATTTTTATAAAATATACGATTTTCTAACATTTTCAATATTTTCATTTATATTGTTATTATTATTATTGTTATCATTATTTTTGTTATTATTTATACTCGAAATTATATCGCTTTTTTTAATTAAATCTTTTTTGCTTAAATATCTTCTTTTTTTTATTCTTTTTCTTTTTCAATTTATTATTGGAATATTCGGCTTTGTTTTTTCGTATATACGAATTTAGGTAATATTTTTACCATCTATTCATCTTCTAATTCATCTTCGGAAGGGTTTGAGTCAGATTCGAATGAATTTTCGTCATTTATTTCCTCTTATTCGATAATCTTTTGGAAGTTTTCCTTTAATTCTTACATTAATTTAATTTTATTTCCCTTTTTGAATTCTTCGTCTTCCAAAACATTAAATAAATTCAAACAAATATCTCTTCCTATATCTAAATAATCCTAAATAGTATAATGATAGCATCTCTAATCCTTCATTTTACCAAAAAATGAACTTTCCAAAGTAAATATATTAGCAATCCTAAGTTCTTTCCAAAGAGATATTCTGGCAGTTTTTTCCTTACATTTACTAACACTAAACCTACAATCCTAAAAACTAATATAATCACTCATTTTAGACATTTAATAAGGAAAAATTCTAGTTAAAACAGGATCTTCTTTATAAGAGCAACCATAAAAAAAAGTATTCATTTTTCTACTATGACCATGTAAATCTAAAATTAAGCACAATTCTCTTTCTCTGCTAAAATTTTTAATCATATCTTTAATTGACCAAATACTAGGATGTAATTTCTAATTATTATATTAAATAAATGAATTTATAGATTTGTATTTAAACATAAATAAGTAAAAATATATATATATATATATATATATATAATTATATATTTATATATATATATATAAATATATATTTATTTTTATATATATTTATATATATATATATATATTACTTTATGAGGTTTTTTCCATCTTCTATTTAAATCACATCCTGCTAATGAACATCTATAATTTCCATGAATTACTCCATCTGGATTTACCATAGGAACAATTTTAAAAACACAAGAATCCCTTAAATATTGCGCTTCTTTACTTTCTCCTAGTAGAAAATCTATACAACCTTACATCATGTATGATGCATTTGTTTCTCCTGGATGTTATCTAGCGAATATTACTACACCTTTTCTTTGATTTCTTTTTATCATTGAACTTGATGTTATAGTTAAGCAATCTATGCTATTTCCTGCTAATGTTCTAGCTATTTATCTTATATTTAGAATTCTATTTTTATTTATTTAACTTATTTAAAAATATTAAAATTTTATACTTTGTTTTAGTTTCATCTTATAGTATTTAATTAATATATTCTTTTAAATTACTAAATGTATATGGAAAGGAATGAGCGAAATATACAATATCTCCTGAATGTTAAAAATAATAACTAAAACTTAATGTGTAATAATGCTTATCCCTAAAACCATCTCGTGTATATTCTCCTTTATAATATTTTATATTAAAACCATCTCTAATCCATTCTTATCCATCTTTTTCATTTTATTTTACACTAAAAACTACTGGGTTTAATCCTTCATTAAAAAGACTTCCTGTTTTTATCTATTTATTTTTTTATAAACTTATTTTTTATTTTTTATTTTTTAAATATAATTATATTTTTACTAAATTTAAAATATTAAATTTAATGGCTTAACCAGCTTTAGTATTTTTTATAGAAAAAAAGAACCATTAAGTATTTCCTTTTGTATTTATATCATTTTATAAGATTAAATCATATTCATTTTCCGAAACTTTATATGCTGAAAATAAATTACCACTTTCAAATTCAGAAGAAAATTATATCTATTTAATATTTTATTAATTTTTATTCATTTATTATTATTAATATGTTAATTTTTTAAATTATTCATGTTATTCTTTACTAGAAGTTAATAACTTTGTCTTTTTTTTAGATTTTAAATAATTTTTTAAGTGAGAGATATATGTTGCGAAATAATAAGTTCCATCTATTTACGTAGGATTATCTAAATTAATATTTTTATATTTTTAATAAACTAAATTTAGTTTATTAGCTTTATGATTTTCTATTAAATATTTAGTTTGTTTTTTTTATTAAATTTTATTTTCTTCCTCTTTCTATTTCTCTTTTGTTAAAATTTATTATTAAGACATATATTCGTTTAAAGATAAATTCCTTTAATATGGTTCTTGGAATTTAAAATTTTTATCTTTATTAAATTAAGGTAATGCTCTAATTTTTTTATTTTTTTTACAAAAAAAAAATAATAACAAAAAAGTAAATTCTTCTTAATATTTTTTACTCAAATTAAATATTGTTAACTGTTTTAACTTCAAAGAGTTAGGAATAAACTTTAGGTATTAAAGGATTTGCTTCAGGTAAATATTTTGTTATATCTATATGACTGTCTTATAAATCATTATCTTCTGAATCATATTCAGATTCACTAGTTGTGAAAGCATAACCCTCATCTTTTTTGTAAAAATTATTATCTATATTTTATTATATATACATAATTTTAATTTAAATATATATAAATAGTTTATATAGATTATTAGTTATATATAAATTTTATTTAAAATATTATATTATTATTTTACTAAAATCGTTTTTTATTATAGGAGATGATAAAGAGTTATTTATTTTTTTATAATCAATCATTTTTATTTTGAATAATTTTTATTTTTATAAATATAATTTGATTTTATTTATGTTTTATTATTTTTTCGATAATATTTTTTAAAAACTTAAAAAAATAAAAAGTATATATCAAATATAATCTTAAAATAATTATTTATTAATAAATAAGTTATAAAAAGATAATATTAGAACAATAAATAAAATATAATACTAAAAATATAAGCCATATGTATATATATAGTTAATATAAAATATATAAAGAAGAAATTCAAATATATATATAAAAAAAAATAATAATTATATTAAAGATAATAAAAAAGTATATATATATATATTATGATTTTAATAAAAATAAATATATATAAATATAAAATATATAAATCTATAAATATATATATTGATATATATTTATATATTTATATTATTATTTTATTCATATAATAATAATTTTTGTAATTTTATATATATATTATTATATTTCTGTATTTTAATATATTTAATTTTTATATATTTTTAAATAATAATATTTTATATATTTATTTTTAAAATTTAATTTTTATATTTATTCAAATTTATTAATATAATACACATAACATTTTTTTTTTTATATTAAAAATTATTTTTGAACTATAAAAAATAATAGATCTTTTTATTTTTGTTTTAAGAATTAATATTTAATTTTTTTTTTTATTTATTTTTGATTTAATTTTTATATATGTTATAATTATTTTATTAAGAAAATTTAATAATATTGTTTTATTAAAAACATTTTTTTCAATTAAAATTAAAATATCTTCTTTATTAATATTATAAATTTACAAATTTACAAATTTTATTTTTATTTATTAATATTTATTCATTTTATAACTTTTTTTTATTCAAGAAATTTTTTTTTAAAAATAATTTTATATTTATAAATTACTAAAATATAAAATTTTTATAAATAATTTTTAATATAATATATATTTTAATTAGCCTAAATTAATAAAAGAAATTACAAATATAAATTTAAAAAATAAAATAAAAAGTATATATTTTATTTTGCATATCTTATATAATATTTTTCATTTGAAAAAATTCCAAATACAAATAGTACTATCAAAGCTTGTAGAAACAATCTATTTTTCATCAGGAGTCCATTTTAATTTAGAAACAGCATCAGAATGTCCTAAATATTTTCCCATATTTTTTTATTTACAATATCTATAACAATAATCTTATATTTTATTTTTTTCATAAAAAAATAATACTAAAAAATAATACCTCTCCAATATCATTTCCTAATGCCATATACTTACCTGAAGGTGAAACTTCTATACAATTAAGTTTATCAAGGCAATTAATTTATTCTACAGGTTCTTAAACATCACAATCCCAGAAAAGAATAGGAATATTAAGTCCACAAGTAACTATAAAACGAATAAAATAAGAAAAATATAATAAATATAAAAAAAATACTTAATTCTAATTCATGATCTTTTCTTTAGGACATGTGAAGAATTTACCCATTTTTAGCTTAGTGGAAAATAACTTTTTTGTCAGTTTTTAAATCAAAAGTATTAACCGATTTATCTATAGAAGCTGAATGTATAATATTTTCCTTTTAAATATCAGGAAAAACACTTACTACATCTTTAGTATGCATCGAAATTTATTAAATTAATTGTTTATTTACTCTACTCCAAACTCTTACAATACCATCTTAACCACCACTAAGTACATAATTATGATTCTAATAATTAAATATAATAATATGATTAAAAATTATAAATAATATACCATAAAAATAGAACTCACACAACCTTTATGTGCATTTACTATTTCCCAAAAAACAGGTGAATATGGTTTATTAGTAATTTTAAAGGCTCTAATAAACCCATCTGAATATCCACATACTATACTTCCATCATCTGCCACTGTAACACTACTACCAAAAACTTTATTCATTCCGACTGGTAAACATCTAATAAAAAAAAAAAATATAATAATATATAAATACATACATATATATATATATATATATATACAAATAAATATATATATATTTATATCTTTTTAAATATAAATATATATATATATATATATACATAATATATTACCTTGTAATAATCTATAGTTCGTTATTATCCCAAACTGCACACAATCCATTTATTTCAATAGTAACAAAAATATCATTTTTATCAAATGGAAAGCTTACTCCTACTATACTACTTTAATGTCCTTCAGTTTATAAAGTAGCATCTATATTGCTTGTAAGAACTCTATACATATTATTGTTAGCAGTTCCTACAAGTAATTCTTGTAAATTATTTTACAAGCTTAAACTAGTAATAGCTCCTTCAACTTATAATTCACTCTCTAAAGCCCATCTTGTATCTTTACCTTTCAATTTTTTTAATTTTCCATCTCCACTTCCCACAAAAAGAATATCATTAAATAATGCTAAACTTAAAACTCCATTATTTCCTATAGGAACAGCTGCTTTAAATATCATATTTTAGAGACTATATATACATACTTCTCCAGCAGTAGTCCCTGCGAATATATAATCTCCGTTTTAGTCAATTACTACTTGAGTATATTGTCTTACTAAACCAGAATTTGGAAGTTAGCATGTATTAGATTTTAATGTATACTGCATAGAGCCAACATTAAAATCTAAAGTATTTACTATTATTGTAGGGCCATATATAGATATTAAAAGATATGTATTGTATCTAGTAGAAGATTTACGCATACTACCCCATTAAACTATAAGTATATATATATATATTATTTATATTTTATTATTTACTTGCAGAAATAGGATGTTCTAGTAATTTATTATGTACAACTGTAAAATCTCTTAAATTCCAAATTGTTAGAGAATTATTTGCACCTGTAGCAGCTAAAAAATGCTCGTCAGGTGATAAACTTAAACGGCTTACACATTCTCTTATGCCATTTAATGTTTATATTGGTCTTAATGAATTATAATCCCATAAAATAATCTTTATAAAAATAATTAAATAGATAAAAATATAAATATGTAATATATAAAAATAATATATATAATATATATGAATATATGAATATATATATATATATATATATATATATATATATATATATATATATATATATATATATATATATATTATTATGTCTATATATATATAAAAATTACTGGTGCTTCTAGTGTTTTAGTTTATTTAGAACCTGCTTATCCTGTAACAATCAAATTTCCTTAATTTGATAATTCTAATGCTGTTATTGGCATGTTATGCCCTCTTAAAAATTTTTAATCATGTTTGTCGTTAATGTTTTCTATTACTACAATTCCTGCTACAGCATATAATATTTTTTAATCATCCTTTGGATGAAAATAACACATTTTTAAATGTTTTCCGTTAAAACCTATTAAATGGTCTAATTCTAACATATTATTCATTTTTTATTAAGTTATTTTTTTTAAATATAAATATAATTAAAAAAATTTTATTTATTTTTAAATAATTAAAATATTATATGAATATTATTTATTTTTTTAGTTTAATCAATAAAAATATTTGATTAAATATATAAATAAATATATATTTTTTATTTGTATATATATATATATATTTTCATTATAAAACTTATTTATGTTCTTCTTAATTAAAATTTTATTTGTTTTAAATTTAAGATAATATAATAAAAATTTAAAAATAATTATTTCTTATTATTAAAATTATATCAACTATTATTTTATTAAATCTATTCTAATTAAAAAAGTTAATTTAATTCTTAAATATCTTTCGATTAAAAAATATTATCAGGTTTTAATTATTTTTTAATAAAAGGTAATTTTTTACAAAAATCTTTTTGATAATTAAATAATTATTAATCTACTATACATAATAAATCATTAAAGCTTTTATTTATATTATTTTTATTGCTATAAATATTATTATTATTATTATTATTATTATTATTATTATTATTATTTTTATTATTATTATTATATCTATTATAATTATTTATGTAGCCTTATTTTTTTAATCCAATAATACTTATATTCTATTCAAAAGCTAAACTTTAATAAAATTAATCATCTTCCGATATTTTATGACAATTATTTTATTTTTCCACACTTTTAATTTCATTTTTATCTTAAATATTTAATTCTTGACAAGTTTTTATTTTTTTTACTTCTTTATGTTAATAATCATAATATTTTTTTTATTTTTTTTCTATACTATTATTATTTTTTTTTTATTAAAATTCAATATTATTAATACTATTTATTTATATTTCTGGTAATTTTAATTAACTTTTGCTTTATTTATGTTAATTATTTTCTTAAAAAAAATCAATTTTTTCCTAAGCTTCGTTTAAAAAATTCATACTTTTCTAAACTTAATTATTATACGATTTATTTTTGAATTATTATTAAAAAAAACTTTCTTCTGAATTTTTTTTTTTTTTTTCTTTAATTAAACACTATATATCTTTAAAAAAAAAAAACTATATAAAAATTAAACAAAAAAAAATACAAGAATCCTATAAAATCTATTCAGTACAAGGTCTTTAAGCAGGGTCTTTTTATAAAAGCCAATATTAAATTCTATGTAAATGTTTCGAATACCCCTAAGGTATCTACTAAACTTTATTTTTGAGAATTTTCATGGCCAAAGCAAACTAATTAGAAGCTTCAAAAGGGTGTTTTGACGTACAAAGTTCATATAAAACACATCCAAGTGCCCATATATCACTTTTCTTGTCATATTTTTTTTCTTGGCATATTTCAGGGGATAAATAATAAGGAGTTCCAATAACAGTTTATGCCAAATCTTTGTTTTTTTCTAGTATTTTTGCCACTCCAAGGTCTCCAATTCTTATTTCTTTATAATTTTTTGTTAAAAAAATATTCATAGTTTTAAAATCTCTATGTAGTATATTTTTATTATGAATGTATTGTAATCCTTATACCATTTATAAAAAAAACTTCCAAATTACATTTTCAGGTATTTATTAGTTTTTGTATTTTTATATATATTATAATAAATCGCCATTTTCACAATATTCCATTACTATATGCAGGTCTTATTACTATATTATAGTATTATAGTATTTCACTATGTACTCATTTTCACATTATTTTAAAATTGTAGCCTCATTTAGGGCTTCTTCGATTTAATTTTAGGACATTTCACTTGTATTAATAGTCTTTATAACACATAGTTGGTTATTTTTATTGTTCTTAGCTTTATGAATAACTCCATATGAACCATGTCCAAGTTATTCTAGTATATCGTAGTCGTTTAATTGTATTATATTATGCATATTTTATATATTTAATTTTCTATATATATATTATTTTTAATATATATATTTAATATTTTTGTGGTAATTTAAAATATATATATATATATATAATTAAATATATATATATATATAGAAGTTTATTAATAAGAATTTTTTTTTCAATTATTTTAATTTTTATTAAGTTTTTTAAGTAAATTTTAATTTAATTTTTAAATTATTTATTTCTTTGCTTTTTCTATTTAAATTTTTTACTATTTGTTTTTTTATATAAATAAAAATAATATATTATTTTACTTCAATTTCAATTAAATGAATATTTTTTACAGAATTTTATTTATTTTCAATATTTTAATATATTTAAGTATTTTAAATATTATTAATATTATTATTATTTTATATTTATAAATTTTTTTCTAACATAAGTTTTTCAATTTTTAATTAATTTACTTCGTCTGATAAATTTTATATTTAAATTTTATAAGTACGCTCAATTACACCTCTTAATTTATTTTAAACATTTGCAGATTGACAATTATTTTAAACAGATGCTAACTATTTGTTTTTACGTATATTCATAGACTATATATAAATATATATATGTATTTATATATATATATATATATATATATATATATATATATATATATATATATATATATATTTATATATTTTTTAATTACTCTCATTAAATTCTTTTCTACTTCTATACTTTTTCTTATTACTTTTTTTATAAATATTATAATGCTATCAATTTTTTTTTAAACCTTAATTTTATTCATAATTTTATTCGTTTTAATAATACATAATTTTATTTATTTTTTTAATATAATTAAATAAAATATTTTTTTTTTTAAATGTATTTTTTTAAATTTAATAATATATATATATAATAATTTAAAAACATTATTTTTTTATATTAATCATTATTGCTTTTAAAACAAATTATTTTTTGCTTTAAATTCTAATACTTTGATTTCTTCTTTGCTTAATAAAATAGATAAATTATTAATTCCCTTCCATACTGTAAAAGCGCTTTCTTTTAATTTATTTATGCTTATAATAACTACACCATTTTTAACATTTTAAAGTTAAAATTAAATCAGTTATGGTAATTGATCAAATTTTTTTGGTAATTATTTTAGTATATAAAAATAATCTTCATAATTATCAAATGAAATTTTTTATTTATTAATTTTATCATAGAAATAAATTATACCTTATTATTTAATTCTATACTTTTTTAATTATTTAAAAAATATATTATTTTATATATAAAAGCATACATTAATTTCATGTGTTTAATCTTTAATTTTAGATAGTACTTTAATTCCACAATTAATAATCTTTTTTTTTTTTATAATTTATTTATTTTGTTTTTTTTTCTTAAAAAAAAAATAAAATTAAATAAAACTTATAAATCTTTATATTTTTCCTATTTTTAATCGACAATGTTTTTCATATAATTAGATAATAAAATAATATGCTTACTAAGTTATCCGTTTTCATTAAAATGATAATATAAATATTCAAAAATATCATCATTAATCTAAATTCCATAAAAATTAATAATTTATTAAAAAATTATTTCATTTTTTTTCAAACAAACTAATTTTTCAATATTTATACTTTCGAATTCTTTTAATTAATCTTCATTTTTATTTTTTTATTCTTAAATATCATATTAAAAATCATATATATGAATTCTCTATATATATTCTTATATTAAATTTTATTCAAAATGACTTATTTTTTAAAATTTTGCGATAAAGAATCCTCCTGTATTATTTAAATGTGGATGAATTCTCAAACAAAAATCTACATTTTCTTATGGAAACATACTTTAAAAAATATATTTATCTTTAATTTATAAATATTTTTCCTATATATCTTCAAATTTCCAATAAGCATTGCTTAACTTTTTTTAAACAACAGGCCCTTAAAAATAAAAATATATATTTATATTTATATTAATATTTATATATTTATATTTTTATATATTTTAAAATTTATTTATATATTAATTATAAATATTTTTATATTTTATCTTTAAATTTTAAAATTACATTTATTTATTATTTTTGCTTTTTTAAAATCTTAAAAAGATATATTTAAATTTTCTAAGCATATAAAACCTTTTAAAATATTTAAAGCAGCTGAAACAACTGCTTCATTTTCCAAAGGATTCATTGAGCATGTGGAATAAACTATTTATCCTCCAACTTTTGTTAAAAAATTCCTCTTAATAATATACCTAATTATAAACAATGCAAGTTTCTACCAATTTTACTTGACCATTTATATAATAAACCTTTTAAAGAATATAAAATAATTTTATATTTTAAATTTACTTTTTTATTTTCTAATAGTACCATCGCCTGAGCAAGGCACACATCGCATAAAACTTTATCAAAGACTTCAATTTATGGAAAATTTAAAGAATTATTTGATGTAATAATAGAACATTAAGAATTTAATTTTGAAGCATGAAAAGCTAGCATAAATGCTCTATTTTTATTAATATCGTTTGAAAAAAGTATTGAATTTTCACAATTTTTAATTCTTTCAAGAATTTATTTACTTTTAGAGCCTGGAGCCTTAATAAAAGAATATATATATATATATATATATATATATATATATATATATATATATAAATATATATGTATATAATATTTATATTATACTGCGCACATATCTAATATTTTTTCGTTTTTTTATGGATTTAATATTATTACAGGTAACATTGATACTAACTCTTATCTTGAAATTTAACCTAAAGCATCTTGTTCTTTTAGAAAATCAAGATATTTCTTTTAAATTTTATATTTTTTTATTTTTATTTTACAATTACTTTAAAATCTTTATTTTTGCGTATTTCTAGATTTGGTAATAAAAATTAATATGCATATTCATCATTTAACCATTTAACTCTCTTTATATTTTAAAATATAAATATAATATTATTTATATTTTTTTATCTTAATTTTTTTTACTTCAAATTGAGGATATTATTGTTCTATTAATTTTTATATTAAATTATTATTTTCACTTTATATTTATTTATAGTAATTAACTATTTTAATTTTTTTTCTTACTTGCTTTTATTTAATCTAAATGTAATTGGTAATTTTTAAGCACATGTCTTTTGTTTTAATTTTAAAATATATAAAAAAAGTAAAAAATACACAATAAAATTATTCCTTTTCTTCCTCAGGAATAGCTTTTATTTAAAGATAAAATTCAAGAAAATTCGATTTTAGTAAATATTATTAATCTTCTTTATTCATATATAAATAAAAATATAATCAAATTATTTTATTTTAACACATATATAATTTTATATATATTTTTTTTTCGCTTTTAAAAATATAAAATTTGAATTTTTTAAAAAAAAAAATGTAAAAAATTTAAATTCCAATTTCTTAAAAAGAAGAAATATCTTTAATCCGTGAAAAAGGCTAAGAAATAATTTTAGAAATTGAACATGATTATTTAATCGACCCGAACTTAAAAGAAGATAAAGAAATATAAAAAATATGTCAGCATTTTAAGCGAAAATTAAAATTATATTACAACTAAATCCTCTTAAATTATTAAAACTACGTCGAATACGTTCCCGATGATGAACTAATGAAAAAAAGTAAACAAAAAGCCATTTAATATACTTAAGTAAATAAATAATTACTCGACAATAACAAAGAAATGATGAGAAATCTAAAAGAAATTTCTTAAAAAAACGAGATTTTAAAAGACGAAATAAAATAAAATTTGCTAATTTATTTAAACGAAGAAATCGAATAAATAAGAAATTAAATATAAACTAAGGAAAAATAAAATATTAATACAATAAGATTTAAAGACGAAAAAGGAAACGAAAAAGAAGTTGAAATAAACAAATATATATCCCATATAATTTTCGAGTCTAAAAATAACATATAGAAGTTAATTAATGAAAACAATACTGAAAACCAAGAAGAAGAAGAACTTACATCTTTATTAGAAAAATAATTAAAAGATTATTAAAAAAACCTAAAAAATCATATTAGTAGAAATATTGAACTTTAATATGCTTTATAAAATGTAAACGAGTGTAATTTTGATATTCCTTAATTATAAATAAGATGAAAATATACATATATATATATTATCATTAATTAATTAAATACTTAAAACATTCTAAATTAATTTCTTTCTTTTTATCTTTTTAGCAAGAAGCAATTGTTATTTCAAATAAATGCTTCTTTTCTTCATGTAATTTTATCATTCTTTCTTCTATACTATTTCTCATTATAAATCTAATTACATTTACATCCTTTTTTTAACCAATTCTATGTATTCTATCAACAGCTTATTCTTCTCTTTTTTTATATATATAGATATATATATATATATTATATAATATATATATATATATATATATATTATTTAAATATTTAAATATATAATAACATATTTATAAAAATACACTGCCGGATTCCACCAAGGATCAATTAAAAATACATGATTAGCTCGAACTAAATTTAGACCTACACCTCCTGCTTTTAATGAAATTAAGAAAATTCTATAACTATCATCTTCATTGAATTTTTTAATAACATCACTTCTTTATTTTTAATTAAGTGATCCATCTAATCTCTTTTTTTGTTTTATTATTTTATATAAATAATTATATTATAAATAAATATACTAAATATTTCATATTATTTTATTTAAAATCTATTTCAAATAAGTCAAACATGGCCAAAAACTAACTAAAAATTACACACTTATCATTCTTACTATTTAAAACATTATTCAAATATTCAAAAACAGCATTCATTTTAGAACTTCTTTTGAAATTTTTCTCCACATCAAATCCAAACCTATACTTAATTAATTATTTAATTTCATATATACATACTTATTATCTCTTGGAACAGTCATAATATCATCTTTAGTAATATAACTTCTACAAGTAGGACACATTCCTACATTTTCAATAGACCTAATAGCACATAATCTACAAAAAACATGCAAACATCCAGTTATAACTGCATCTTCCATTGAATCTAGACATACACAGCAATATTAAATATTTTCTTTTTATAAATCATCAATAATATTATTAACATAATTCTTATTATTATTATTATTACTATTATTATTATTTTTATTATTTTTAACTTCAATTCTATTTTCATTGAAATTTTCATCAAAGACAATTTCAAAAGCATTAATATTTTCCTAACTTTTCCTTTAAAAAGCCTAATAAAATCCCCAAATTTTCTCCTCCATTTTTTCTCTTGAAAAAACATCACTACGAGCCTAAATCATAAAAACATGGTCACAAAGTTGTCTTAATCTTAATAAAATTTCGAATACTTTCATATAATTAGTCAAAGCGATACCTTTTTCAATTAAACCATTGAAAATTTCCTATGACTTTTCCCTTACACAATTATAAATTTCCATTTCTTCCTTTGAAAAATCCACTAATTAAATTTACTATTTTTTCTAAGTTAACTAAATGATTCTATTTCCTTCTTAGTCGACACTATTTTTCGTCCTCCTCAACAAAATCGGCTATAGAACCTTCTAAACCATCTCCGCGTTTTCATTCACGTAATTATTCCACCAAGAAAAGTCACACCAAGGTTCATATTCCAAAAAACATACCAAAGAAAACACTTCTTCAACCTTATTCTATAATGGAGTTCCTGAAACTGCCCATTTATGTACTCCTTTCAATCCAAAAGCAGCTTTAGCTACTTGAACAATTCTCCCTTTAATATAATGTGCCTCGTCTAGTACTATTCGATCCCATTTATACTTAAAAAGTTCCGAATTTTCAATTTAAAATTCTGATGATAATGTCCCATATGTAGTAAGTACTATATCATAATCTTCGAGTCCTTTTTTTCTTTGATTTCCATAATAAATAAAACATGAAATTGAGTTTTTCATAGAATGAGTATTTATTTCTTCCTCCCATTAAGAAATTAAAGTCACTGGCATAACAATTAATGTGTTTCCCTTCTTTTCTTTTTTTTTCTTTTTATCCTAAAATTCAACATCTTCATCTTCACTTAAACTTTAATCTTCATTTTTCAACATATTTTCTCTCCAAAATTTACCATAATGTATCAGAGATAAGACCATAATAGTTTTCCCTAAGCCCATTTCATCTGCCAAAATGCCCCCTCGACATTTCCTGCCGCCATTCTTAGGTATTTTTACCGAAATTTAACCTGAAAATGGGTTAAAAAACAATGAAAAATCGCCTTAGACTGCATATTCTTCCCATAAAGGATGCAGAATTCGACTATTTTTTTCCTATTTGTCATAAAAAAGCTTCCCTTCTCTAATAAGCATCCATGTGAGTGCTTATTTTTGATAATCATGCAATTCTGAGACAAAACTTCTAGGTTTTTCAGTAAGATAAAGTTCCGAATGTGGGAATTCTGATGATGATACATTTAAAATATCCACAATTGATTTATTCGAAGAATTCTCTTTTTTTTTAACATTCAGTACGTTAATTAAAGCTTCTGTTTTTTTCTCCAAATTTGTCATAATAAATAACTTCCGGAAACAATCTTTTGTTTCCTTATATATTTTTAAAATTAAACCTTGTTTATTCTCCTCTTTCTCCTCCGCAAGTCTAGTAATTGGACTAGTAATGCAATTTCTCAAAAGCCAAATTTTCACCTTTAATTTAATGGGAGAAAAAGTGCTCATTCTTTCCCCACAATCTTCAAAAAAGCACTCCGTATATATATAGTTTTTCTCCATTAAAGGATGCAAAACCTCCGAATATTCACTATCGACTCTACCTATAGTTTTTTCTTGAAAAAGAAGACGTATTATGGTAGTTTTTAGTCGTTTTTATTCACTATTGGTTTCTATTTTTAACTAAATCTCGTCTCCGGGGGACATTTCGCGCTTTTAAGAGGTTAATGAGTGTCCTAGGATTTATATTGTATTTAAAAATAAAGGAAATTATATAGGACTTTTTTATTTTTAAATTGAATTGGTTATTTATTCTTATTCTATTTTTTATTCTAAAGGATTAGATCTTTTTTTTTATAAAGCTTATTTTTTTAATAAAAAACTCTATTATGATTATAATAAAGGATTATTTTATTTTATATTTCTTTTTTCTTCTTCAAAATCGTTGTTATTTTTTTCTTATATTTTATATGAATTTTCTTATATTTTATATGAATTTTCTTAAATTTTTTATGAATTTTCTTACTATAGTGTTTTTTCTTATATTTATTGAATATTTTTTTATATATAAAGTGTATTTTCTTATATATTTTATATTGAATTTTATATATTTTCTTAATTTTAAGTAGGAGAAAAAATGGAAGGTAAATAATCTAAGGATATTCCTGTTATTTCCTAAACTGGTTCAATTATTTTTTATTGTTTGGGAGGATTTTTGTAATCATCTTTTAATTATTTGATTATTTAATCAATTTTTTATTACTTTTTTTGGCCTTCATTTAATATTTTAAAAGCGTTTTTTGGTTGAATTTTCGGAGTTTAATTCTATGTATTTTGGCGGGATTTCTTTCTATCAGCTTGTTAAAAATAATAATTTAAAGACAATTCTAAATTCCCTCTTCCCCATTCTAAATAACGCATTATTTCTTCGTCTGAACATTAATCATCTCCTATTATATTTATGAATTATTAATAAAGATCTTAAATCATTTTTTTGAAAAAAAAAAAAAAAAAAAAATAATAAAAAAAAAATATTTAATTAATTTTTTTTTTATTTTTTATTTTTTTTTTTGAAGTTTATTGTATTTTAAATAATTCTTTTTTACACAATGCAATAAATAAGAATTTTTCATTATATAAATATATATATATACAAAATAATTTTATATAATACACTTTACATAAATAAACATTATTATAAGATTTTATAAACGAAAATGAATTTAACTATACTTACATTTTTAAATAAAAATAAGTTTGTTTTTATATTTTCTAAATTTAAAAATTACTACTATAAATGTTATAATTAGGTAAAGCAAAATAATTTTATTATTATTAAAACTAGACCAAAAATTAATGTTTTCAAAATAGCTTTTTTAGTTCCTCAAAAATTTAAAATCATTTTTTTTTTAAAATAATATATTTAATTTAATCTTTAAATATTAAACTAATGATAATAAGAAAATTCTTTATAAAAATTTCGATTTAATGATTATTTCAATAAAAAATATAAATATTTATTTATAAAAATCTAAAATTATCATTTATAATACATGTTTCTCTGTAATAATCTATTTTAAATGTTAAAAGAGTATTAATATATTCATCAAATTCATAAATTAGTATTTAAAAATTTCCATATTAATTTTAAAATATATATATATATATATATATATATATATATATATATATATATATATATATATTATATATTAAATATTTTTAAAAAAAGAATTTTTAATTAAATAAAAATATAATTTAAAAATTTATATTTAATTATTTGCAAAAAATTTCTAAATTTATAGTTGATTTAAAACACCTAATAGAAACAATCTAAAAGAAAAACTAATTATTTAAGCTTATACCCCCTTGTTCTACTTATAAATATTTTCAATCCGAGCCCACTAAATTACATAAAAATTATTAAATTCATAAATTAATATTTACTCCAAAAAAAAAAAAATATCATTTATCTTTTATTAATGATTAGAATCATACTATTAATCATAAATAGACTATTAAAATGAATAATAATTCATTATCTTTATTATACATAAATAATAAATAAAATGAATATTTAATAAACAAAATAAATATAATTAATATGTAATATTATTAATATTTAATTATATAATTTAAAAAATATTATATATATTATTAAATATTTACTAAATCATTTATTTATATGATTAGATTCTTTTATTATTTTATTAAAATACATTCATTACTTTATATTATTTTATTTTGTTTGTTTGTTATTAAAAAAATGTTTTAAATATGATTATTTGTTTATTATTCTAGTATATTTTTTTTTGTAATTATATATTTTATTAAATCTATTTTTTAGCTTTTATACAGACAACTATTAATTTTTTTAATTTAATAAAATCTACAAAAATTTGATCTTTTTAATTAAAATTAATTATTTTAATAAAATCCTAAAAAAAATAAAATAAAACATAAAATTTAAAAATAAAAACAATAATTTTAAATAAAAAAGTATTTTTTAAAAAATAAATATTTCGGGACTAAAAAAAATAATTTACAAAAATAAAATATATGAACAAAAAAAATATATAAATATATATATAAATATATATTTATATATATATTTATATTTATATTTATATATATATAAATAATATTTTATTCATAAAACAAAAAATATTATTATTTTATATATTAATTTATTAATAAAAAAATATAAAAAACTTCATTATTAATCTATTTAATTAAATGCAGAAACACTACTAAATAAATAAAAAATAAAAAAACAAAAATTTCAAAAAAATTATTTACTTATTGATATTATTAATATAATTTTATGGTTTTAAATGTTTTTAAATCGAAAGTGTAAAATCTTTATAATTTTTACAAGAACTTCCAGTTTAAAATTGAGCAATTTCACAAAAATTAAGCATTTTTGAAGGACTTTCATAATTTTATTAATCTTCTTAACTATTATTTTTTTTATTTGTACTAAAATTATTTGAACTTTTAACTAAAATATTCTATTAATTTAAAAATTCAAATGTGCAATCTTATAAAACTTTCTATTTTTCAAAAAACCCACTTTCTTTTTAACTAACGGATTAAATTTTTTCTTTTTCAAAAAATAATTATTTTCTAAAATTTTTTCTTCTGTTTTCTAGAAATTCTCTTCCTCTTAAAAAGACAATTAACTACCCAAAAAAATCATTTATAAACCTATTTTTTCTTCTTTATTTTTAGAATATTTATTCAATATTTCATTTCCAAAATTATTAAACTCATATTTTATCTAGTCTAATTTTTAATTAAAAGTTCCTAGTTTTTTCTTCATGCAACTATTCCAATGATTTTTTATAGAATTGTCTGTTCTTCCTTTTAAATATTTCGCAATTTCGGCCCATTTACTACCCATAGATTAATTAAATAAAAATAAAATCCATTCTTCATATTCGCTCCATTCACTTTTTTTTATATTTGGATTTAAATGATTATGCCATCTAATAATTATTTTATATTTATTCATTTTAATTTTATATTTTTTTTTATTATTTTACCTTTCACGGCATTATTTTCCGATTCTTTCATCTAAATGAAAAGCTATAAAACTCCATTTTTAAGGCCCATATTGGTTTACTAATTTTAAAAGAAATTAATCTTCTTATAATGTCCAAGGTCCTTTAATTATTTTTTATTGATAATATTTATTTATTTTTACTTTTTTTGCATTGTTAAGGAGGTTTTTTGTTTTTTATATGTAAAGCTATTTAATTATTTTTTTATAATAATTGATATATATATTACCAGAATGAATATTTTTTTTATTATTAAATCCTTATTATTATTTTTAAATTTTATTTTCTTATTTTTATAATTTACTTTATTTTACCATTTGTATTTATTCGAAAAGTATTTCTTTAGTTTTTTGTTTTATTAATATTAAGTTTTCTTTTTTATTTGTTATTTTTTAATTTTTTACAAGAACTATGTTTTTCTACTTAATATTGCAAAATAAATAAATAATTTATAATATTATTTTAAAATTAAGGTTTTTATAAAATTCAAATAAATTAATTGATTTGTTTAATTTTTTAAGGGCATAAAACACATTTGTTAAGTTAATTAAAATTTTGGAAATTAAAAAAAAAATATATTATAAAAATTATTTTTAGTAAATATTTATTATTAAAATGTATATTATTTTAGTTAATTATTTATTTATTTTAAAAATATAATAAAAATATATATCCTTTAAAAACATTAAAGATAATAATAATTTTATATACAAAAATTATAATTATTTATAAAATAAAATATGTAAGTTATATATAAATAAAATATTGTTAATCAAAACTTATTAAAATTATGGTTATCTTTATTATGATAATAAGATAATATATAATATTATATATATATATATATATTTTTAAAAAATATAAAAGGAAAAAAATAATTTATGAAATATTTTATTAAGATAAAATATAAATCAAAATATAGAGAAACTTGTTAATTAGTATTTTATTAGGAATTATGATTATATATATAAAATAAAAATACAT